TAATCCGTTAATGTCAATAAAGATACAGTTCCACAGTGTCGTCTATCCTTTATAGATGAACGTGTATATGATTTAGTAAGGTAGTCTTGTCTGTCGTAAAAGGTGGAAGAGGAAGAAGAGGCCGACGGGGAAGAGGTGGCAGAGATCAAGGCAGAACTCAGTACCAAGGAAAAAAGATAAAGTTTGAAAGCGATGATCACCATGAGGAGAAGGGTAAGTTCAAAATCATTTAGAGCTTTTAGTTCATTCAACTCAAAAATTTCATATCCAATTCATTTTCAGTTCCTAATGGAGTCCCCCAGGGATCTATCCTGGGCCCTCTTTTATTTGTCATCTGTTTCCTGTTTGTCATTTTTCTAACAATTAAACTCATAAATGTACGCAGATGAAGGCACAACATTGCTGCCACCCTTTCCCTCCCCTTGATAGCAGATCTCACGTGAAAAACAGAAAACAAAGTAGTGCTATATACTCACGATATACACTAAACTATAGATGTGTAAGACAATGGGTCACTATATAGAGTCAACATAAAATAATTATGAATCCATTTCGCAGGCTTACATATTCTCAATGAATTGCCAGGAAGTGTAGAATTTTCCAGCACACCCTCTGATGGTGAACTTAATCTTCTCTAGATGAATGTGGCTCACCACGTCTCTAATTCACTGGCCAAATGTTGGGGGCCAAGGATCCTTATTTTCTATAAACTTAATATCAGTTTCCGTTGTTATGTTGATGACATTCAACTCTACCGGGCTGCTAAACCTACTGCTGCCATCCCACCCACTGTCCTTTGTGTTTACCTCCAGAAAATCAAATCCTTGCAATTTTCTCAAATTAAATTGATAAAATAGAGGTTATCCTCATTGGCACCAAATCCACTCTGTCTAAATGTAACAGTTTCTCCCTTCCTTCTGGTCCAGACTCTGGGTGTCATGCTTAATAATAGGTTTTCTTTTCAAGCACACTCGCCTCCATCCATCTCTTTTACCTGACTGTACTGCCATCCTTGGTCACACCTTGGTTAGGACCCACCTACTGTAGCTCTTTTTGGTCTTTCTCTCAACTTGTTCATAAACTTCAATTGTTCCAGACTTCTGCTGCTTGCATCATCACCAGAACTCAGTCACATCACACCTGCCCTTCAAAAGCTCCATTGCCTTCTGCTAAAATATTGTACTTCAATATTCTGCTTCAAAATGTAGTCTTGGGAACATATTGTAGTCTGTGTTAAGATTATTTCTTATCTAATTTGTATTTTCTTTTTTGTTTGTTTTTTTTCCCTTTAACAGCTGTAACTATAAAGAGAGAACGGGAAGATACCGATTTTGGTCCTGCAGCAAAAGTTATCAAAACTGAAAATGGATCTTAGTTATGACTTAAAATCAATTTTTCTTTAATGAAAACGTTTATTACAAACAGTGAAAATGGAAAATACAGAGACAACTTGAGTCCATTCCAGTGAAAACTTCAAGCTTTGGAAAATCGTAGGAAGTCCACCTGGATGTCAACCTGGAGAAATATGTTCAAAGCATCATTTTGCAGCCTTTTATGTCCCCGAATAATGTGCCTCTTATATTATTTGTGTACCTATGTTTCTCTTTTGAAGATGTTTTGCATTGCATTTACCTTAAACTTGCTTTTTCATTATAATTTAATTTCACCAGGAGATTTTAGTTTATTTTGAGACCTGTGTGACATCTAGAATGTGTGTGCCGTTAGTTTTCCTACATTAACTGATTGAAAATATCTTCATTGCTAATTTGTTAAGTTTGCATATGTGGACTGCAAATAAATCATTTACCAAAAAATGGGGGAAATCTGTCCTGTGTCACATTAAGCTGGAGAACATGTACTGTCTGATGTAATCTTACCGATTTCTTTTTGTGGAACTTGTAAGATGCTGGCAGGTCATATCGCAGTTCTGTAATAAAAGTATTTAGTGAATATTTTAATAATAGAAGAAAAAAAAAGATGGGCTTTATTTTTCTTACCTGCTATGACTTCCATCTTTACTCCCCAGTCATTTGCCTTCTTTTGTATGTGCTGCAATGGGATCATAAAACACAGATCAGGCATCACAACATTCATACTGTAGATAGAGATGTGAGTTTTGGCTTCATATTTAATGGCCAAATTGATAAATTAACTGCTAAGTAAGATGTAAAAGGTCAGCTTTCAGAGACCTGAAAGACTGTCAGGGGCTGGTGAACTTACTTCTCGTGTTGACGTTTTATGAAGTGAGTAAACTGCTGTCTTTGCCATGGTTAAAGCAGCTCGGAGGAACTTCATGTCCATACCTCAAACAAAACAGAACAATAAGTAACGGGCTGTATGAAGGGTTAAAGGGATGCTCCTGTGACTACAAATGCACAGCCTGCCCAAACAGTTGTGACAAATTAGGCAGCTGGTGAGTGGACGCTCAGGTGGACAAAACTGTCGTCACTGCTTGTCTGTGGCCCAAAATGATTTAAAAGAAATAAAGAAGCATGTTTTGGGGCTAGTTGGTTCATTCTAAACCTCATGGACTGATCAGCTACTTGTGGACACACACACAGCAGTGAGGTTTTAAACAGCGCTCCACAGATGGACACATGAAGTGAAGAGAGTAGTGTGCACATATAATTGCAACAGTAAAGAACTGTGTGCAAACGACAAGTTGCCCCTAATCCTTATTACCATAACATGAACACGGAATAAACTTAAATGTATTATTTCTTTGAGTTATTTTGCATTTTGTTAGGCTGGGGGGCTTAAGTCTCTAGTGCTTCAGTTATAAGAGGGTTTTCAAAATTAGTAAAGAAAGAAACCGTTCAAATTTAAGGCATGCGCTCACCTTGGTTGTGTTTTGTCCCAAATGGTGGATTCATTATGACAGTGTCAAACTTTTCAGCGTACGCCTCTGGCTCCAGACGACACATGTCACACTGGATCAAATCCACGTTAGAAATCTCAAACTCCTCTGCGTTTCTTCTGAATATGTCCAGAGCGTCATCGTCAATATCGAAGCCGACGCACAAACTGTAGAAAGAAAGAAAAAAATAGATACAGAGAAGAGAATAGACTACAGTAGGCCACGGCTATGTTAAACTTATAAACAATGCTCTCACCCTGCGTCAAGCATCGCAGCTCCGATGCTGAGGACTCCACAGCCACATCCCAGGTCTGCCACGAGTTTACCCTCAATGTCATCAAATGTACTCTGGATTGTGTAGAGCATACATGCTGCGGGGGGGAAATAATGAATACAAAATATGTGCTGTTACACGCTCAACTGATCGTCACTGTTACCGTCATACCTGCAATATGAGCACTGGTTGGATACTGCTCAAGAAGGACTTTTGGCTCTTCAAATGTGTCGACCTGCTGCAGACAGCTTTCTAATTCCTTCAGTTTCATCGCTTAAAATGTGCCAACTTTGCGTGCAACAGTGGGTTAATTTAAATTTCCTTCTTTAGTTTAAATCACCTTGAGAGGTTAATTTGAGCCATGATTTCTACTGAAGCTAAGAAGTTCCACGGGATAAGCAGCTGTGCACGTCAACCAAAATAATCCGACGATAAACTGTGGTAGCGCACATGTTCCTACCCGCGAATAGCGTTTATGAAACGAATAATAATATTAGTGATTAAATTAATGATGACAATATTGTTAAACCGTTTTACAAAAAAATGTTAATTTTAGTTTAATATCCATACTTTTATAATAATCTGTCATTTCCCTTTGTTATTAAAAATTTACAATGTTTTTTTAAAAAAATAATAAATACATATTTTTTTTTGCTACATAGACACGCAGATTACTCTGTGCGGACAGTTAGTCTATGTGTTTTTTGTTATCTGCACATGTAGTATTTTTATTATTATTATTATTAGTAGTAGTAGTAGTAGTAGTATCTTCTTTTGATTATACAAAAGATAATCTGCCTCTATCTCATTCTACCTCCAGTATCCTGTTCTGTCACCCCAACCATCTGAATGTTCTCCTTTACTATATGAATCCACTCTTTGAATCCTCTCTGTGGTCTTCCTCTTTTATCCATTATCCCTTCTCTACACATGTCCAAACCATCTCTCTACTTTGCTATTCCGGTCACTGCAGTGAAAACCTCAGCTCTGAGAACTCTAGCTCGCTCTCCTTCACTTCTCTTGTGCACTGTCTATTGTTTTGGATGGTTGACCCTAAGTATTTAAACCCTTCTGTCTTCAGTACCTCCAGTCCTTGGAGCTTCAGTCTTACACCTATGTCCCTCTCATTCACACATGTGTTCTGCCTTGCTTCTACTTCTTTTATTCATCTTCTCTCTAGAGCAGGCCTCCACCTCTCGACCCTCTCTTCCACCTGCTCAATACTCTCACTATAGATCACGATGTAATCTGCAAACGTCATGGTCCATGGGGAGTCCCGTCCACTGGAAACAAGCAGGGGCAGTTCTCATTATCTCACTGTCCTCATACATGTCCTGCACCACCCTTGCAAAGTTTTCTACCACTCCTTACCTTCTCATGTCGTATCAAAATTGAACATATATTAACATAACATAACAATATATATTATATTATATTATATTATATTATATTATATTATATTATATTATGTTATATTATATTATATGTACCTTACGTCTTATTGCTTAAAGCTAATTTATGTGATAGATATTTTTTACACACTTAGATTTTTGTTAGTTCTTGCGATTTTTTTGTTTTCCTTCTCTCCTATTAGATGTGTCTACAAAAAATAAAAATAATGCTGATAAAGATTCAAAAACTCAACCCCCACAAAAAATAAACAAAAAGAAATCCCTAACAACCCAATATAACAGCTTCAAATTTTTCAATAATAACGGACTCCGTAACACCAAATTCCAATACTAGGTTTAAGTAGGTCAAATACTGTGTAGATTTGTTTCCAGTACATGAAGTACAACGAGCGGAAATTACTTCAGGAAATTCTCTAGCCAACAACGACGTAATCAGTCGTATCGCGAGAAAACCCGAGAACATGGAAACAAGACAACAAAAATAAATTTGTGGACAACAAGCCAGAGTGCATGATGGCGGCGTCGCTGCTGCGCCGGGACAAGAAAGCCACTGCCGCTCACTTGAAGGCAGACTTAAACCGGACTGACAATAGCTCCGGAGTCCGGCAACTACAGGAGCTTCTTGACGCTGTACTGAATCCCGAAAAACCAGCGGCGGACGCAGAAGCTCTTGACTGGTGTAAATGTCTGATTGCAGGAGGCGAAGGTTTCGATGAGTTCTGCAAAACGGTGCGCTCCTATGACAACGCGACTCTGTGCGGCTTGGTTTGGACGGCTAATTTCGTGGCATATCGATGCCGGACCTGTGGCATCTCTCCGTGCATGTCGTTGTGTGCTGAGTGCTTCAATAACGGAGACCACACGGGCCATGATTTCAACATGTTCCGGAGCCAGGCTGGTGGGGCCTGTGACTGTGGAGACAGTAATGTCATGCGAGAGAGTGGGTAAGTCCGAGCTAGCTAACCCGGCTATGTTAACCGGCGGAGCCAGTGACATTTTCTCATGTGTGTTGTCAATGACAGTTTCCATATAAATTTATGAGATGCTGTTGCAGGCGGACAACATTTTTCAATCCAGTGATACTCCTGTCATTTATAAATACAACCCACGGGCTGAGGGTTACCTAAGCTAGCTAAACTCCAACGATCATACTGGGAGGTGTAGCTACAGGTTTCCGTGTACCTCTGTCTGTGGCTGTTTAGCTATGGTGTGGTCTCCTTTCTGCTGTCAAAGTGTGAATGATCGTTAAGTAAGTGCCATCATTTTTATCTTAATGTTTAAACAGCGACTGTCTCTGTTACTTTCTGACTCAACATCATATCTCTGTTCTTGATTACAGTTTCCTCCTACTCATAAAACTTAATTTCCACTCGCGGTTTAGATAAAATAATGTAGTAAACTATTAGCCTGCTTCCAGAGTTGGCCTGATTATCGTGAGATGATAATTTAGTTTGTTACGTGGAAAGCAAAATACTGGGTAACTGAGTAAAAACCTAAATAGAGATTCAGCATGCAAGAGTCTTTACTGCTGTTAAGTAAGCGTAACGAAATTATAGTTATAGTCCCTCAAATGGTGCATAAAGTGTAAATAACAGATACTTATACTGACACACACACACACATACTAATACATATGTGAACATATACATACTTGTGCATAAATTATATAGAAACTTATGTCATTTTGGATGATGTAAAGAGTAAGATTGGACTACATCTTTATAAATATGTGATGTATATATCAGGGTTGTAAATATGTGGAATTGAGCAGTAATGCACTTTACATGCGTTATTTACAGATTATGAAATCTCTATAAGAAGATTATATGAATGTAGATATATAATCCTAAGTATTATGAACAGATGATCTTTTTAAAAAAAAAAATATTACAGTCTTATTATCTTCAGTAACAAATTATTCATATGTTAGACTATGTTTTTGTGTCATACTGATTCATTAGCTCATAAAATTTGTGTATGGATATTTAATGATGTATGAGAAAGAGGTATGGTAGTGTGTGGGCTGCTGTGAATAACCCTTTAGTTCCCACCTCAATCAACCATTATTACCCAAAGCCCAATCCAGTAAATATCACAACAATATATTCATGAAATAAACCAAAAGGAAAACTCTTCTGCTCAGACCTCTGGGCTGTTTCAGAAGCTGAATGCAAATTGTACTCAATTTCTACCTGATAATTAAAACATGCTAACAGTTTCTTGACCAACTTTATCTTCTTTTAGTGCACATGAGGGAACAGCAAGAGTGGTCAAATGTACCTTTCTGTGTGACACTGTTTTAAAAAAACATTTCCTTTCCCCTGACAGGTTTTGTCGAAGGCATCGGTTGAGAACTGGGGAAAATATCCCCTTAATTCCCAGAGACCTGCTCTTGATGTCTGAGATGGTTCTTCCCCGCTTTATCCTGTGTATCATACAGTATCTGAGAGATGGATATGTTGAACCAGGTGAAAACAGTCATGACAGACACATGAAGTACAATACTTATTAACCAACGTAAACTGAACCTGTAACTTTAATGTGTGGTTGTCACCAATTAAAGGTACAACACCAGACACTTTCATTCGCTTTACCTTCAGTGGTTTACATCTGATATGATATTATATAAGATGGAAAACATGAGCTGCTGTGCAAGCCTTATACAAGTGTTATACAACTATTTACACATAGAGTTACTTTCACTGAGTGCTGGGTCTCACGGGTCTCACGGGTCTCGCATCTCTTATCTTGTTTTACCAGACACCTCAACTGAGAGAGATCTACAGAAAGTCCTGCAACAGCTGGAGCCTCAGATCTCCTTCCTTGAGGAGCTTACAAAGATGGGAGGAGCAATGAGGACTGTGCTGACAAAAATCTTGACCAATCAGCAGGCATTCAAGGAGCTGAGCATGGGTAAATATCCAGCTTAGGGTTTGGGCTCAATTAACAAAGCATTACCACTGATTTCTTTTTTTTTTTTTTTTTTTTTTTTTTTGTAATTTTAGGTCAGCAATATACTAATTGTGAAAAATATTTTTACTTGATATATCTGAACCAAAAAAAAAAAAATTAGAAGGTTCTCTTGCTCACTGCTTAACTGTTGCAGGCCAAGAGGAGAATTTGTATGCTAAGAAGAACTATGACAAGTATTTGTCAGCACTGAAGAATTCAGGTCTGGTATCAGTGGAGGAAAAAGGCCAGAGTGCTGCTGCTGATGTTGGTGTTGGGGCTGAAGGAGGTGCAGGCGCGATGGTCCTGTTAGGTAAGATGACATGTTTTGTTTTGTTTTTTTCAATAATCATCCACCTGCTTCACATCTTTAAGATAAAAAGAAAAAAATCATAATACTCTCCATTTGTTATTAATTATTATTTTCATTTGAATAAATTTTAGTATTGTAAACCAGTCCACATTCCTATAAACATATATTAGATTCTTTTTCTACCAAGTTTTATATACATTACACATGCAGTACTTTTAAAAATGTATAAATAAATGCATGTACAGTGAATAAGAGACCAAACATTTCATAAATAACTTTGTTGGTGCTATAATAACAGGTGACATATGTTCTAACTGTTGCTAAATAGTAATTAGTCCATTTGTTTTGTTAGGAAACAGCGGACCAGGGAGTCCAGACGAGCCAAGTAAAGAGGTATGTTAACGTAATGCTTAAAATGACACTGACCTGATAATGAATGTGTTATTTTAAGTAATACGTTTTTTTTAATTCCTCTTTTTATAAAACTGGTAAAGCCATATCACTGATCTGTGCAAAATTAATGTTGTTTCTAATTTATGCTCAGTCAAAAATGCTCAGTTGATGCCTTAATGAAAATTTGCAGACTGCTTGAAATTTATGATGTTTTGTGTTTTCTTCCAAGGAGGATCAAGATGGAGGACAGTCTGTTGGTCAGAGGAAGAGGGTTAAGCTGAGCAGCAGTACCAAAGGTGCATAAAAAGAAAGGCATTCACACTATAATGTCTGAACTGAGCTGAACTGTGTATTCATTATGTCTCTTTATTGTCCTCAGACCCTTGTATTATTGAATCTCTGAAGCATAAATGCTTCCTGGAAGAGTTGCTGTTTTGGACAATAAAATACGAGTTTCCTCAGAAGATGGTCACCTTCTTATTGAACATGTTGCCAGATCAAGATTACAAGGTATTTTCTTTTCTAATTTTTCATGTGCAAAAATTAATGCTGCATACCACCTTTCAGATGCCTGTCTGATCTTAATTTTAACCTCCTAAGACCCAAACTCTTCCACGGCATGCATTTTTAATTTCTCTTTGATATTTGGGCATATTGGGACCCGATGAATGTAAAAACAAAGAATTACCAGCTTTTTTTTTTTTAAAACCTGATTTTTGTTTCTTAGAAAAATAAGAGCCACATATGAGGATATTCGTTTAAAATTTTGACAGAACAGTAGCAGTATAATGTCCTTGTAAGTGGATATCAGGCTCTTGTAGAGCAAAATTAAGTATTTTGGTCTACAAGGGCCTGAAATGTGATGTCCACATATGTGGACGCCAGGTCCTAGGAGGTTAAATGATTCCTTTCTATGAGCAGTTATACAGCTCACAGGCTAAAAGTGGCCCACAAAGGCCTCCAAAGGGTGTCATTTCTTTTGGCTTCGTTCTGCACCAGAAAGCTGTTTGCATGTCATTGAGAACAAATTAGAGATGGGAATTATCGTCATCATCTTCTTGCTGACGAACGCATTAACCACAACTTGCTGCATGACACCAAAGTGATATCGTTAAGCCAAGGACCTGCACCCACACATTTACAGCAGTGGTGTTTCTTTATGCGTTTACAGCAACTGAATGTGGAAAAACTGACGCATTGTTGAAATTGCACAAGACATCTCAGACAGTTTCTTTTTTGTAAATAGATGGTTTATTAAATTCTTATTGCATCTCAGTATTTTTGTCCTTGCAAAACTACTCTAGTAAAGTAAATGATTTACAGGAAAAAAAATCCTTTTTGAGCTTAGACCTTGGTGCAACTTCCTCCCCTCCTTCCTCCTCCGTCAAAGCCAGCTTTCTTCTGATTGGTTGCCCCTCGTAAACAGAAGGTTTGAACACCAGAGAAGTGTGGTCACAGCCTGAAATAACCGTATTATGGATATCTGGTCCCAGTTACACCATACACAGCCTGAAATTGGAGCGTTTCAGTTGTTTAACGCTTGAGCTGGGATTACATGCACATATTTGAAATTATGTTTCCTGTGTTTAATATAAGAATCTTACCTTGTGTGCTTTGGGATTCATGCATTGCCTTTTCATCATGCCTTTTCAATATCAAACTGGGCTTTAAAAAGCTCAGTATGTATGAGTTTTTGAAGGTAAGCCTTAATCGTGTTATGGGCTTCTTGTTTTTCTCTCTGGCAGATCACCTTTACAAAAACATTTGTCCAACATTACGCTTTCATCATGAAAACGCTGATGAAAAGCCACGAGTCGGACACGATGTCCAACCGCATCGTGCACATTAGTGTGCAGCTGTTCAGCAACGAGGAGCTGGCTCGACATGTCACAGAGGAGTGTCAGCTGCTGGACATCATGGTCACAGTCCTCCTCTACATGATGGAGAGTTGCCTTATTAAAAGTGAACTTCAGGGTAAGTCGGCCAGTTTGCTCACTATTTTGATAAATGCTCACTCGGGTTGTATTATTAAACACGAGAAGGTTTTTATTGTTTTCTTTTTTAAATGGTATTTTCCAGGTTATTCATTGTTGATATTTTTGTCTTGAACTTATTAATAAAACTGAAATTTGGATTTAAATGGTTTTATATGCACCTGGTCAAAAGATCCATCATGACACAAATAATGGATGGCATTAGCTGCCTTTTTTATGTCTAATTGTGCAAATCTGTTACATGAAGCCACTGAGTTTTCTAAAGCAATAATTAAATGTAAATGCTTCCTAAAGAACAAAGCACAGCTGCTAATTTTGCCCTATGTTTTTAATCATTCTTGGTGCTTGTATAGCCTGCACAGATGTTTCATTTCATTGCTGGCTTTAAGTAAAATGAGCTTGAATCTTTACCTGTTGGGTGAGTGGATGACGTGGGCACCCAAGTTTGTGGGTGCGATGACGTGAGAACATGGCGATTTTAAGATTAATACCATAGTTGTTGGACAAGTTTGAATCTCAGTGACCTAGACCTCAAGGTTAAGGTCGGCGGTCAAGTTTTCTGAAAATTTTGCAAATGCGGTAACTTGAGAAGGAAGTCACCTAGGAGTTTGAAATTGATACCATAGGTATCTACTAGGAGGCTGAGCAGTAGCACTGGCGTAGACTCCTTTTTAATGCTGCACTCATCATTGTTGGCAGTGTTATAATTAGGGATGGGTATTGATAAGATTTTCACGATTCCGATTCCATTTTCGATTCTGTTTAACGATTCGATTCTTTATCGATTTTCTTATCGATTCTTTTTAAAAAAGGAGAACACTAAGGTCGATTAGCTTAGAAGTTTGTTTTATATATTCTCTTTGAACAAGATAGAAATTTAGGAGTAACGTGGCCTTACAAACAGTGAGATCTTAAGAGATCCACAGCCTACGGCTCTTCAATGGGGTGTCACAGGGTCCCCAGGAAAAAATATTGCAAATGTAAAATAATAAAATAAATATTCTTCTGTAGCAATAACAAAGTATAACATAAATTATTCTGTAGCAATTACACAAGAATATCCAGTAATGTCCCTGCCTACAATTAAACACATTCACTTACCGAAAATCGGGGGCATCTGATGTGGCAAATGGGTGCAAGGCTTTGACCACAAACTTAGTCACTGCTTGGTGACATTCGTCTATCCTGGCCTGAAAGGAGACGCTAGCAGGAGACTGCAGCGACAACTGTCAGCATCTGAGCCAGACTCTGTCTGTCTCTCTCTGTTAGTTGCACTGTTAGTTGATTATTTACCTTCCGCATTAACGGGAGAGGACGTGCAAACGTTACCGCTGCTGCTGGGTTGAGATTCACGAGTCCGGAGCGGAATTAAAAACA